ACGATTAATGCTACCTGCAGTATCACAATTACTACACTCCAAATGCCACAATACAACTGACTGGTTGCTGGCTAACTCGACGATAGGTCCAGGACTCGCTGACTGACTCAGTACAACTCTGCGGTAGCCACACTAGAACTGGCTGTGAATAGCCTTCGCTTCTCCCTATGTAGCCTCGATCGGACAATACGGGAAAACGGCCACGTAATAGGCACCCTTTTGCCTGGCGCTCTGTTGCTATGTAACGCTAGCGGAGGTCACCGCTGTTACTATCGTAACGTCGCCGCTGTTGATTCGCGTTGCCTAGCGACTGCGATATCCCTCGGTGACGTCACCGCGGAGGGGAGGGGCGGGGCGGGAACTCGCCTATTACCGTAGTAACGCGAGCGTTACGTTCACGCCACGTGCCGCTGGGGGGGGCAGGGGTCAACATGTCACAATATTACAGCGCTTTTCACTGACAATACACACCGCACTAATACTGTACTGTATATTAAAGGTAGGCCTACTCACCAAATTACAGTAGATTACATCAATTGTTGTGCCTTACTGTACCTAGATACGAGTACAGTAATCAGTTATCTTCATCTGTTTCCTGTTACTTGCCCAATACACACTTTCTAAATTACGTTCACAACCTGCCGCGTCCTCTTGCACTATTCACGCAGTCCCACCCCACACCCTTGTTTTCGCATAAATCCCACGCTCCTCTTGCAGCCCGCGGTCGTATTCTTCCAGGGCAGTCACATCAGCAAGTAGAGAAAGTGAGGGTGGGCAGACACATCGAACTTTCCCACGATACAGAGAAATTCAGGGATGAAAATGACGTTACATACGAGGTTGATGCATTTGTGCATGTCGTACTAAGCAAGGTATAAAAACAGCTGCTTCATGAGGAATCAGTTCGTATCATTAAATATTTGACACAATAGACAAGGTTACTTAGGACTACACCTGGACTCAACATTAAACTGGAAACACCATATAGCGAAGAAGAGAAAACAAATCGAAATTAAGTTCAAGGAAATAAATTTGTTAATAGGTCGGAAATCTTACCTAACAGTAGATAATAAACTGGTGATCTACAAAACAATAATTAAACCCATATGGACAGACGGCATTGAGCTCTGGGGATGCGCCAGCAGGTCCAACATAGAAATCATCCAGCGAAGTCAATCCAAAATACTTAGAGCCATAGTTGACGCACCTTGGTACGTGTCAAATCAAACTCTTCACACTGACCTCAAGATCCCATATGTAAGAACCGTAATCACAGACAGAATCCAAAAACATTATCAGAAACTGGAGTCTCACCCCAACAACGCAATAGAAGCTCTCCTTCAACCTACACAATACAGAAGACTAAGACGAACTTGGCCAAACGATCTCCAGGAAAACTGAGGTGTAATCGATGGATTACAGCTCTTCAAGCCAACTTCGTACAATAGAATAATTATTGTACATGACAGCAAATTAGCTCATAGAATGTAAATTCAGATTGCTAATAAATGATAAATAAAAAAAATAGACAAGGTGTCGCAGAAACCGATGTTGCTATAACCAAGTTTTACTGTATTCGTTTTCACAATGACACTGTACCCTCATCTGTTTTTAGCCCAGCGAAATACACTAACTTCGAATTCCGTCCTTCAAAGAGCATTATTTTGCCTTAGAGGTTACGGACGGTATGCCTTCGAATACAAATAAACTGCAGTGGTATGTGATATTTCATAGTGAGATTTTATTCAGCCATCATTTTGTTTTACAAAATGAAAAAAAAAATTACGTTAAGAAATGTTGCATATTGCTTGAAGGACTGTTATCATACCAGCCTCGTTCCCACTCCACAATTAGCGTGTCCTCCATGTTGTTCTTGCTGGCTGTAGTAAATTGTAATCACTTTCCTGGCAGCATTCGAGATCGGCCAGTTGGTTAACCGCAAACACGGATAGGATGACAGTCTCGAAAACCTACTTTCATTTCTTAAGGAAGTAATATAGACGAAGAATATTAGTAAATCAAATACACTTTAATATGTTTTTAACCAAATCTTCTTTCTTAAGTAGTACACTCTTAGCTGTAAAATGTAAAATGTAAAGAGGAATAGTTTTGGTTCATGTAAAATTAATGCTGTAAACGTTGTTTGTTTATAAAGATAAAAGAGTGAAATGAGCGATCCGTGCTAGGACAGGTTCCGAACCCTCTCGTCGCCATCAGGTCGCGTCTATTCACTTATTTCGCGGACTAGTGAATATGTTATTCTACACCAGTTAGCAGAATCACAGCAAGGGGCTATTTAAGGTATGAAACTAAGCAGATCATCTATGTAAAAATTTCCTCATTTCCCCAGAATTCTTTCTACTTAAAGCTGTTAATTTACTTTGTAATTTTAGGCTTTTTAAAATCTACTCCCAAGTTACACACGTTCAGTAAATACTTTCTGTTCTTATGCCAGATCCATTTGCATGTTATCATCAAATTTTTCTAGGTGATGTTTCAAGGAGATTATAGGCTTGTACTTTCTGTGCATCGTGTTCACATCGGTAAAGAAATAGGATATCATCCAACCGTTAATTTATTCACGAAGGGACATAAAATCAACAAAACCTATCTACGCAAGATCCGGGAGGGGCAGTAAAATGGCTTCACGCCATTATTCCTGAGAAATACAGCGACGAACCATACTAATCAGTGTCTTCTTTCCAATCACTCGGTCGGTCACACCATCAGTCAAGCAAAAGGGGAAGATAAAATGTAGCTCTGTTCAATACAAAGCATTTAGTAGCTAAAAGGCAATGGAAAACAATTGTCCATTTATGCTAGAAAACTAGTAATATTTCTAGTTGTGGTGTCTATAGACTATAATACTTTATACGCACCCATAAATAGAATTTAGACAGTACCATAAATTTATCCGTGAACTGCCGATCATGAAACTCTAGTTGGAAATTTGCTCGTAACCCACTTCATGGAAGAATTCTGTGGCACAAAAACAGGTCTGTTCATAGTAGCAGAAGGTTTCAGTCAGGAACGTTAATTTCTTGTATGTAAAGTCCTAGCGATCTTCGAGTTACGCATGCAGAACCCGCCCCCCCCCAAATATTTATCTTATAGATGCACACCTAATCCAATGATATACCAAAGAGTTGTATATGTAGTTGGATTTTATATGTTCAAAACAATTTTTAACTACAAGATCAGCGTTCCCTCCAAGCCGGGGATGTGCAAGCCATAGTGTCTTCTGAGAAGCAATTAGGTAGGCTTAAGCAAACCGGAGTGGGGGGAAAGCAATTTTCTAGAAAGATCCGTGAGAGACATTATATAGGTGGCAAAAGTCGCTTTAGACTGAGATTAGTTCTCGGGAGTGCAAGCTCACGTCCTCATCTTAGAGGAAACTTTGCAGCAGAATAGGAGTACATAGTCAGATAATTATCAGCAATGGGCAAGCGAGTATTTTGAGAGGTTATAGTGTAGCCTATTCCAAGGCACTATTCCAGCAGGGAAAACCTCAGTGAGGAAAGCAGATCGAATCGGACACCTTTCAAGTGTTACAGTTACATAACCCTGCACAGTGTGCCCACTATAATTACAATGCTTCTAATTATTTTAAGTACGGGTGACGTCAAAGCAACAGCGTTTCACTCCCATTGGTTGCATGTGTATGATCACAGCTGAAATATTTACCACTTACCTGTGGCTACTGTCTTCTAACTTAAAAATGCCATTCTTGAGAGAGGTGCCTGACAGATTCACCAGTCACAATACTTGCCTCGTGGCGAATTGAATGTTGTCTTTTAATGCAATAGTAGAGGGACAGACGTATGGCCGGCCCTTCTCCACCCACATCCTCACGAGGTTTTCTAACAGTTCTGATGATTCTAGCTATAGTCAGTTAACTATGTTTCGGCTTGCATGGACATACTCATATTTCTCGACAAATTATCACCTTTCAAAGTAGGCATGACTCATAAAATTCTCTTGATAATCAATGACGGCGAGGTTATTTCAGAAAACTGGTGCTTCTAGATGTTCACAGAAGCGAAGCCAGTGCTGGAATAAGGAAACACAATTACTTACTAAGGTCGTCACTTCCAAATCATTTCAAGCGCCCATTCAGCATCCTATATAATGGACAGTGAGAAATATTTTCCTACGTGCAAAGCGGGCGGAGCGTGATGCTGACAGTATCTGTCAGTGAAAAAATGAGATTTCTTGTTGCTATATATACATTACCCCACTCCTTTATGCAGTGGAACTTATTCACCTACGATCACAAATTATTTACCTTTGTTGAAGTTAGGTTTCAAGGGTTTTAAAAGAAAGAACAGATCTACGACTTCGGCATAATAACAATATTAACTAATAGATATAAAAAACAAACCATTATATGTTGCAGTATACACTATATACAGTGTATAACACAAGTGCCAATACACTTGCTTTACAAGTTTACATGATGCAATACTGCAGCGGTCCGAAAGACACGAGGCCCCGGGGTTCTCTCGTCCGTATGTATGCCACAACTGTTATAAGTAGCTACGAGATACTGGTTGCTTCGGTGACCTGGATGAGGAGCGCACTTCGGGAGGTACGAATCACACGACTAATTTAACACAACAATATGTATTTCTAATATCAGGTTAAATGTTAAGCACGATTATTTCTGGAACGTTATACTAACTTAATCCTCCATTAAACTCTCACAGTTTTCTATTATTCTTCCGTCGTTCACTGACTTTCTTAATCAATCATTCAGTTCTTCCACGCAGGTCTCTTTCGTCGCCATGAAATTAAATTAAAATTTCAAAATTCTCTTTCGTCAATGTTCCACGCTCTATACCTGTCGATATATGACATATAAGCTTGAAAGTTTTCCACACTGCCTTCACTTGCCACTAATTTTGTGGCGCAATAGTCCAATGTTATCGACATTCTTCTCGCAAAAAAATAGTCTGCCAGTGAATATAAAAAAATTAATTTCGTCTTTCAATTAATTTTAGGTTCTGAGCCTCAACTTGACCAATCTGTTTATCTTACTGGTTCTAAAAGCCCTGCTGTTTGGAGCAGGCTTGTTTTCTTTTGGATTCTTGAAGAACGGAGGAGGTTCTACTGGATATGGCCGTAGCACTGATGAGGAAAACTTGACTCCAGACCAACGGGCTAACCCATTTATAACAGAATCAGAACTCCTTCTCCTGCTCACATATCTCATGGGCGATGCAAACAATGAATATGACTGTCTGCATCGGGTGGCCTGCGAGGAACCAAAGAAGGCCCTTGAATATATTACAGCAGCCAAAATGTTAATCAAGGGAGCAAGGATCTTCAACAAGTGAGTACACTGTTTTGCTTCTTTGAAATTGTAGATTATTCTAATTTTATCTTACTGATGTTTGTCGAGATAAGACGGCTGGAGAAAATGGCGTAATGAGAAATTCTTATAGCAGTGGCCAAGGCAACGGAGATGAAACTTCTGGGGGATAGCACGCGATGAGAAATGAATACGTAATTTCTGACACAAAATGAAATGAGATATATTGATTGGGAGACATAACTGTAGATGAGAGAATAATATTAAAATGGATTATGAAGGAAATAGGACGCGATGTTATGGTCTCAAATCGCCTTACTTTAGACAACAGAACGCATCTGTATAAAAATTATATTCCATTTATAATATGTGATGTGTCATGTGAACAGTACTTTTTAAGGGCTGAGTTGTTTGAATTTTTCTTCTTGCTATATTTTTGCTTATTTTTACATAAAAAGGAAACTAACTTAAGATAATCCTGTAACAGGCCGTGGAGGCCCTTAGGGTTGTAAGATGTTGAGATTCCCACACTTTCTAAACAATCGGCTCATAGATAGCATTAAGGTTGTCAGCCTTACGCGCCGGCCGCCCTTTACCCCAAAGAATATTCTTGGTACTCATTTCTGTTAGAGGCTGGGTCGACCCTATGGCCATAGTGCGGCTGGAAGGATTAGGTAAATTAAAATATCCACCTCATCGGGATTCGATCCTGCGACCTTCCGGGTTGTAACATAGTGCCTAAACCAACCGCATGCCCCTATTTGTAGATAATGTCATGTTTTTTACTATTTCCTCTGACATACATTTTCACTCTTCTTTTCTGTTCTCAATTGAAAAACACAGGTGTGCTGAACATTCTAATGTCTCATATTTTGTAAATTACATATTGTTTGTATTTACTATGTACAGTAACTATTTCACATAACTGGAAAATAAACATAGTTTTATGTTTACTGACATGCAGTGTGGTGAAATACAACCCCAAGTATGAGGCAATTATAACAAAACTACAAGAAGCAGTGGACTACGGTGCAAACGGTGAAAAATGTGATGCACGCTATGCCTGTTCCAGCAACTCATAGCATCAAAAGAAGGAAATCTGCAACAAAGAACTTTAGTACCACATTACCAGAACTGCACTGTGATGATATAGTCGAAACTAATATAAGCTGTATTTCCTATTTTTAAGTTGGAGACTTCACATATATGACAAACTCAATTTAATGTAGTTTGTGTACAGTTGTCTCTGAAGTAAATGTTTTAATTCTGAGTCATGAATCTGAAGAAATAAATTAAACACCACAAACCCAAAGGACCTTGTAAAGTGGAACATTCATATCACAGGTGTAGTAATTTATAAAATGAATGGATATTTTCTCAGTTGTTTGGCTATATGAAATGGATGCATAAAACTACGTGTATTAAGAAGAGATTTATTTCGGTGATCAAACAAAGACATCCTGCAGTCTGTTAAACACACTGATTTTCTGGATACTGTACTAAAAGTAATATTTGTATATTCTTTTCACTTATAATTCTCTCAGAATTAGAAATGGACGTTGGTGTCTTCTACTTGTATTTCCCATCTCTGTAATTCTCAATTATTGTCGGGGTTTCCTTGGCCTGTAAAAATAAAACACTAAATAATGAAATAGAACTGTTGATAGAATATGAAAGTGTAACTCAAAAGGTTTTGCTTGTAGACTAAATGGTGCAGCATAGAACTTGCAACATACACGCATTTTGTGGCACGCAAGGTTTGAAAATTATAGGCCAAGAAGCCCTCTGTGACACTAATTTGGAATGGTCCATATATTATCTCAATTCATTTTAGTTTCTTCTGCATTATCCTACTGCATACTAGGATGGTAAAGGTATTACATGCCTTCAGACTTGAAAGTAATGTTTCAATTTAAGCACTGTATTGGACTATGGATTGGTTGAAGTATTTGTAGAAAATTTAAGTACTATACTGTAGTACGTATATTACGTTCTCATTTTAAGATGTACATTATTTAAGTTCATGTTGCATTTTTCTGCATTATCATACTGAATCATAGGGTGGTAACAAAATAAGTAAAGTTGTTCCTGTAACAGGCCGTGGAAGCCCATAGGGTTGAGAGATGCTGAGGCTCCCACATTTTCTAGACGATCGGCTGATAGATGGCGGTAAATTTGTCAGCCTTACGCGCCGGCCGCTCTTTACTCCTAGGAATATTCCTGACACTTATTTCTGTTAGAGGCTGAGTCGACCCTAGGGCCATAGTGCGGCTGGAAAGATTGGGTAAATTGAAAAAATCCAATGAACTATTTGGACCTTCAGGCTTGTAGCATAGTGCCTCAACCAACTACGCTACCCCGTACAGGATTTATATATCACATGCCCTCAGACTTGGAAGTGAGTGAAATAATATGTAGCCTACAAGGTCACCTTCAGCTAACTATGCATGGTTACTGCATTATAATACTGTCTGGGTAGTCTGTTGATGTACAATAAACCTCGCCAATTCCTTGGCCGAAGTCAGGACATTCAGGTCTGAATAATAATATAGACAACAAGTGTTAATGCAGAATGCCTTTGGGAGAGCCAGATAGTTGCAGATAGATTGAAGTGAAACTAGTAAAACTTCAATTAGCATTTTATGTTTACGTACTCTGCTGCTGGTTCCACGCAAATTCTATTAAATTTTACCTATTTTGTACACCTGAAATTTACTGTGTTCCGTATGCGACAAGCCGGAAGGTTGCGGTTCAATTCCCGTTGAGATCATTGGATTTTTCAGTTGACTTAAAACCTTCCAGCTTCACTGTGGCGGCCTAGTATTGACTCAACCTCTAACAGAAATGAGTACCAGGAGTGTTCCTGGGCGCCATGCGTGAGCCGACTAGAAAATCTGGGAGACTCGACGTCTCACAACCCTATGGGCCTCCGCGGCCTGTTAGAGGATAGCTTTACCTTTTCTTACCTATATCGCGTTTCACATTCAAGTGTTTAACAGCAAACAATGTAAACGTGGCAAATGTTATAATTTATTGGCCTGAAATGTAGATAATTAACCCTTAAAGAAGTGATACGAACTGTTCGCCTCCAACTGGGCGATATTTTTCGCGTATACGAAATATATATGTATGAAGGGGTAGGCCTACTCGGCCCTTGCACTTAGACCTCAGTGGTCCATTGTGCTTCCCCTTTTTAATTATTCCCTCAGCAACCCAACGCTTCGGATGAAGCGCAAGATTTTGGACGTGTGGGTGTCGAAATAGTCACTTGGTTCCATAAAGTACTGACCCAAGTGACATAGTCTTTAAGAAGCTAAAGCCTCACATTCACACAGAACATGTGTGGCTGTTTCATTTTCTGACACCTCTCACAAGTGGGGCTATCACTTAGTCCCAGTTTGAACAGGTGTCCTTTGAGATGACAGTCTCCTGTAAGTAGTCCTACCACCCATCGTAGCTGGTTCCTGTTGAGCTTCAACAGTTCCTTCGCTCTTTTAGCAGAAGGTCCCCGTATGAGTCACTTTGCTTGCCTGAGTCCAGTTAAGGATTCCCAGTATTCCTTGTGTTTCAAGTTAGTCCAGTCCCTGATTGTCTGTTTGGCAACTCCTAGAGAGATGCCACAGGCTGGTTCAGGTCCTATGAACGGATGTTCAGCTCCAATTTTAGCTAATTGGTCTGTTGCTTGATTTCCAGCAATATCCTCATGCCCCGGCACCCATATCAGTTGTACCCTGTTACGTTTGGCCAGTTCCATTAGGGTTTCGTGGCAATCCCAGACCAATTTTGAGTTGATCTGGTGTTTGTCAAGAGCTTTAAGTGCTGCTTGGCTGTAAGATAGAATGTAGATGTTCCTGTTTCTATAGTTCCTATCTAGATTCTCCATAATACATGCTTTAATGGCATATACTTCTGCCTGGAATACTGTCGTGTACCGCTCAAGGCTGAAACTAAGTTTCCGCCTCGTACCATGGCAGTACACACCAGCTCCAGTGCCTCTATGTGTCTTGGAACCATCTGTATACCAGATTAGTCCCTCTTTTCTGTCAGGCTGAAATAACTCCGTGACCTGTAGCCCGCAATCGAACTATACCGACAGAGCGACTGCCGCTTATCGGCGAAGTTTGTGCCAACTCTTGTGGGTAGGGGGTGTCACGTGGTCAGCGCAACGGATCCACAAGGCCGTTAATCTCTGTTTTACACTTATAGAAAATACTACAATAAATTCCAAAACCACACCAAACTCAAACCTAAGTATATGTCATTGTCCCTTCTTAATTTACTTAGCTGGAACCAGCAGACAGAAAAGCTGCTCAAAACATTTTATGAAGGAAAAGTTCATGCTCTCTCATAACTTAACTGAGCACTGATTTGATTCCTTGATCAATCACACGTTTTATGCCACTTTATTACATAATGGTAGACCTTCCGGTGAGATGACCTTATGGAAGATTTACACTTTTCTTTATACATTACCTGTAGCCCAAGTTGTCCCACACGCTGTGGGTAGATGGCTTGCTGCTCCACACGTTGTGGGTAGTTGCTTGCTGTCCCACACGCTGTGGGTAGTTGGCTTGCTGCTCCACACGTTGTGGGTAGTTTGCTTGCTGTCCCACATGTTTTGGGTAGTTGGCTTGCTGCTCGAAGTAGCTGGGTTTAACGCCGTCTCTCTTTCAAAAGCTGACTTGTTACTGTACAGAAATATTAGGCTTATTTTGGACTCCGTCCATCGTCTGGTATATATATATATATATACATATATATATGACAAGGTCCAGTGATTGAGACTAGCTCTTTTTAACGGGTCCAACTGAGTAGGTCCATCCTGCCCCATCCACTTGAGGACGCAGACAGATCTAGTCTTCGAAAATTTGTGGTTTTCCAGCCCTTTGATAATATCTTCTCGTTCGCATATACGCCCTGTAATGTCGTATTCATAGATCCTAACGTCGATTTTAGCACTGTTATATGTTCTTCGGAAAGTTTAAAAAATTAAATTTTGTCTATGTAATAGGATTCATCTTCACTGTCCATAGTAACAAACAAGATTTTGCTAATTTTGCTGTTGACTGTCCTCAGGAAGGTTATATTCAAAGTAACATACAGCATTGGCCCAGTCATAAGCATAAAACTAATAACATCTATCTCCCTCTCAATTAGTGAGTACTGCTCACTAACGCTTTGTTTATACTGTCGAAGGGTTGTCAGGTTTATAGCAGTGTGTCTCTTTACTCTGCCACGAACCCAATACTAACAAGTTATCCTGTGGCATGTTAAGAGTTCGTGGCTAATGAACAGCTATGACAGCTAGCGATAATCTCAGAGCGCTCGCCGGCTGATGAATGTTGACACCCTAAAATAACAGAGGGCCCTGTTCCTTATGACACCCCCCTCACCAAAAAAGTTTGATGTAGATCAATTACAGCAAATATTTTACTTCATTCTATATTCAAACAATGGGTTACTCCCTGGGTCTGGTTTGTGCATTTTTTTTCTTAATCTTTGTGCCACAGGTGGACTATATCGTTCCATTTGGACTTCAGCTATGAAACTTTCTATGTCCTCATCACTAGTTGGTGCGGAAGGCAATTTCTCAAAAGTCTCATGCTTATGTATCCCAATCTTGTCTAACTCAATTAAGGATTGAGTTAGTGCATGAGTTAATTAATCTTAATCCTGAATCTTTAATGTATGCACATTGGGTGCGATGATTGTATTATGGTGAGGGTTATTAAATGAATTTGTAATCTTTTTACATCCATTCACGCAATCATCGTATGCACCTTTCGGATTTAGTTTTCTCCAACACCAGAAAAAGCCTTCCCAACAACCTTTACAACAATAGCAACATAAATATACACTAACCATAACAAATACCATAGTTCCAATTGAAATTCCACCAGTTACAACGTGTTTGTAATATTTGGAATAATCTACTTGTTCTTTAAGATCTAAAAGTTTGTGATGATGGTAAATTCTTACAATTAATATTTTGCTGGACATTATCCATCATCTTGTCTATTCTAAAAACAGTCTAATTTCTATTAAAAAACACAACGTTTCGGGAACTGGATTCTGTCCCCGTCTTCAGGTAAAACCTACTCAGTTGGGTCCAATAGACAGAGCTAGCCCCTATCTCCGGACAACTATGCCAATTTCCGAAGGGATTCATAAAAGGAGCACAACTTAATCCATCTGTGAGAGCTAAGCGATATTGAAGCTATCATAATTTGAGGCTTAGCACCAGAGAAAGAAATCATACCGGGAGAGAAGCAATACTCCTTGTGGTATACAAGCACAGCAAAATTATCTGTGGGAGCTAAGAAATATTGAAGATATCATAATTTGAGGCTTAGCACCAGAGAAATATCGTGAATGAAATCATACCGGAAGAGAAGCAATACTCCTTGTGGTACCAACATATGAAACAAATAGTTACCCAAACCAACTACACTTGACGTCGCTGTAGTCTCTTGATTTCTGCTGTAATGACAGGGGCCCAGATGGGAGCAAAATATTAATTGTAACAATTTACCATCATCACAAACTTTTAGATCTTATTTGCATAACCAGTATGGACCTGGTATATATCCTAATTTTAGAAAACTTGAACGACTCAAGATCCAGTTGGCTAAGACTTCCAACCATCTCACTTTTCTTATGAAATGCAAGCTTCATGACATAGTTCCCAAGGGCCTCGTGTTGAAAGCTCCATACCACAGTCATCGCTCTTTCAATATAACTTTACGGGCCAGCAAAGCCTTATTAAGAGATAGGATTCAGTTCCACCGGTTTAGGAAAGCCGCTCTCAACAAACAAATTAACGACCTAGAATCATTTTTTCGGAAATCAACAAATAATTCAGACCAACTCCGCATCCTGGCTGCAGTAGAAAGCTCATACAAACATCATTTTCTGAGGCTGAAGGAGATCCAGATTCGAAAATTCTCAGCTCTAAAAAATCACCATCAGTCCACCAGGACACCGGAAACCACTCAGGGGTCCGAGAAGTTTGTCATAAACTTGTCCGACCATGTTCT